ACTAGTATTAGGACATAAGGAAAATTCTTCGAAACACAGTAAAAAGGTAGATCTTTACCTCATACAATCCATAAATAAATAATTCAAAAGATTAAAGAGCCAAACCAAAAAACTCACAAAAAAATTACAAGGAAACACTAAGAGCCAGCATGGTGGTACAGCAAGTTAAGCTGCCTCTTGACACACCAGGATCCCATAACGGAGGACTGGTTTGAGTCCCGGCTACTCTGCTTCCAATTCAGCTACCTGTTAATGCGCCTGGGAGGCAGGAAGTAACAGTCCAGTTACTAGGACACTGCCACCCATGTGGGAGATCTGAATGTAATTCCTGGCTCGTGGTTTTGGCCAATCCCAACCCCACCAGTTGCAGCCATTTGTGGAGTGAGCCAGCAGAGGCAAGATTCTTTCTGTCTCTCCCTCTTTTTCTGTCACTCTGCTTTTCAAATAAATAAGTAAATGAACAGATTTAAAAAAAAATCTATAAGCTTTTTTGGTTGGATTCATTCTACATTAATCGTACTTGACCTCATCTAAATTCTGACAATTGCACACAGTACTTTTTTTCATAATCCCTTTCTTCTTTCTTAAATTAGTTGATTCAAATCCTTTCTCTAACCTCTGTCTACTTAATCACAACAGACTTCAAAAATCTCGAGGGCCAGCACTGTGGCATAGTAGGCTTCTGCAGCGCTGGCATCCATATGGGCACCAGTTTGCATCCCAGCTGCTCCTCTTCCAATCCAGCTCTCTGTTGATAGCCTGGAAAAGCAGTGGAAGACGGTGCAACTGCTTGGGCCCCTGCACCCATGTGGGAGACCCTTAAGAAGGTTCTGGTTTCTGGCTTTCGATCAGCCCAGCTCCAGCTGTTGCAGCCATTTGGGGAATGAACCAGCAGATCAAAGACTTCTGTGTCTCTCCATCTCTCTGTAACTCTTCCTTTCAAATAAATAAATCTTTAAAAGGAAAAAATCTTGAGAGTTTTCTCAATTTAAATCTTATACTTCAAAATGCCTTGCTCCTTCCTCAGCACATTATTCTTTTCTGTTTTAGGATTATGCATCTTCCCAAGTTCACTGTACCCTGGATTCCACTTAGTGTCTCCTCTATTAATGGCAGCTTTTCCCTGGTCTACTATTTAGGTGACTGCCAACTCTTAAGACAAAAAATCTATGTATACCAATGAACAAATGTTCATTTACAGGGCCAGCGCTGTAGCATAGTGGGTAAAGCCGCCACCTGCAATATTGGTATCCCATATGGGCACTGGTTCAAGTCCCAGCTACTCCACTTGTGATCCAGCTTTCTGCTGTGAAATGGGAAAGCAGTAGAAGATGGCCCAAGTCCTTGGGCCCCTGCACCCGTGTGAGAGACCGGGAATAAGCTCCTGGCTTCGGATTGACGCAGCTCCAGCATTGTGGCCAGTTGAGGAGTGAACCAGTGGATGGAAGACTTTTCTCTATCTCTGCCTGTGGGCAACTCTGCCTTTCAAAGAAATAAATATTTTTTAAAAAAATGCCCTACCTCCCTGTTTCAAATACAACCCGTACTTTCCTCAAAAAGTTCTCGTCCTTATCCCATTTAGTTCTATTAAAATGTTAACTTCTACTTGTCTGATAACTCCAACAGAAATATGAAAAGAAAAGTTTTCACCTTCTTCTGGATGAATGATATTTTATTTCAAATTCTCCATTATACCTCGCATCATAGTTATTTCTGTACATGTTCATGTTTCCCTAAACTAGGAGTGTTACACTTTTCCGTGAAAAGTGGGCCTATGTTGCTGTGGATTTGTTCTGAGAGGAGGAGCGTGGTGGGGACAAGAGGCACGGAGTCAGCACACAGATCCCAGGAGTTAGGTGAAAGCGGGCCAGAGGTGAGCAGCCCGCAGACTTGTTTATTTCAGTTGGTACAGCAGCTTAAATAGCCAAGGCAGCCAATCTGGTCAAGAGGTGGTCTTAGCCCTAACCAATTACAGCCTATTGCCAGGCAGTTTCCAAAGCCATCCAATCACAGCCTGTTGCCAGGCAGGCTCTGTTGCCAGGTGGTTTCCCAGGGGGTTTCCGAACCCATTCCCGAGAAACTGATGCTAGCTTGCCAGTGGCCATCTTGGCATGGCCTTTTCATTCCACCATACTTCCCCCTTTTCATTTCTATTTGAGCAACGGGAGGCATGATCCTTGGCCATACCATTGTTGACCCCGTTTCCATGTGGTCTCCATGCGCAGCTGTGCCTGTCTTAGGTTGTCCCCCAGGGGATCTTACCCGTCGTTGACTAACCAGCCCTCAAAATGGGAGACCACAGGAGTGCTTGCTCAGATAGGGGTAGGAATGAGGAACAATGGTAATCAGGAATGGCATGACTGCACACAGGCTGTGGGCCATTTGAGTGGCTGACCAGAGCTAGTGGGGTATAAAACAGTAACGGATGTGGCTATGGGCAGTTTCTCAGGGTAGGATGATAGGGCAGGTGCGTCTGCTAACAAGGCAGACTCTCAGTCTTGTTCAGCTGGTTCTGGTTGGCTGTCAGTTGCAGGCTTGATGTTTCTGGCTGGTACCCAAATGGGCTGTTCCACATTCTCTGGAAAGACACAAGACTATCCTCGGCCCTTGGTTAGCAGAAGGTGTGGCCCCTTCCATTCTCCTGTCAGGGGGTCTTTCCACCTAATCACAGGGGCTGGGGTCTGCGATGGAAAGGATCCCCAGTGTTTATAAGCTGGGCTGATTCCTTGGGAATCAAAAGAAAGAAAATTAATAGTGAAAAGGACCTCAGTCAAAGCAAGCAGTTTAACTTGCTGGGCCACTTTGCCAGGCCCAAACTAGTAAATCTTTAATTATAACTTTCCTTTCCATACTATATACTTCTGTTATACAACAGGAAATAAGTCTAATAAATGGTGGATGAGTGTAAAGATTTTTAAGTCTGGTGATTGAAAACAGACTGAACTTCAAGTCAACATCCCTAATGATTGAAGGGAAAAATACAAGAAATATACCCTATTTCTTTTTATTTTCCAAGGTATTAGCCCAAAGTCATTGCTTAGTTGTGATTTTTAAAGTATCTTTAAGAAATATATCCACAGCAGATGATAGCCTGTAAGGGCAATATTCAAGAAGGGCCTAAAAGCCTATGGGAAGCTGGGTGAGGAAAAGCCTAGGAAGAGGAGTATTCTGGTTTGACAGTAAGTAGTGTTTGAGAGAACCTAGAGAATATGTAGAAAGATGGACCATGACAGTAGCAGCAAATGCCACAGTAATACACAAAAGACCAGGTAGAAAATGTTATACCCTAGCACACGAGAATGAGCAAGGGATTAGACATTTCAACCAAAGTTCAGCGAGATATTCCTTTCTAACCATCTGAGATGATAAAGATACCTCAGGCTCCAGAAACCACCAGGAGAGAGAAAGGGGGAGCAGTGAAAAGGGGAGACCAAAAATCCTGCCTATTACTCAGAAGCAACTATGATACCACTAACTGGCAGGATTAAATGCTTTCTGTTATCAATCAGATTGAGGGTTCAAGAAAAGGATGAGCTCAGCAACAAAACAGAGCAAGAAAATGTGCATAGTTTTTAGTCCATAAATGTCACTAGGTTTTGCCATTTACCAGAAACTAGGTTCTCACTCTAACCATACCAGTAAGTGAATAATATTGCATATGTTACCTAACACAAGGAATAAAGTCAGTTCTTGAATTTCTTATTAAACAAAATGCAGATTTGAACTGAGCTATGATCCTTTTTGATTTCCATTAAGTTACTAAATTTTTCCCTTAATTTTATAGCTTTTCATGTTTCTATTACATAGCTTGAATTTGAGAAAAATTAAAATTTACCATCAAGAATTACTTAAGCTTATTTGATCTATCATTTATTTACAGTTTTATCTAATTATCATTTGGAAAAAAACAAAGAATAAATTTGCCTGTGAGCTATGTCCTATATCACACATCCAATAGAAGTTCAATGAATATTAAATGAATGACTTTAGACTGACATATAAACTGAAGGGAATTTTATTTAGAGTTAACACGTGCCAGCTTCAGTTAACTGAATGGATTGGCCAAAATGTGTTTCACATCAATGTCCCTGGCTAGAAAAAGGAAATAACTGAGACCAGAAGGGGAAGTTGTGGTGGAAGGGTTGATAGTTAAAAAGTCCCAGACAATATTAAATTTCTCAGAATTTTTAAGGAAATTACGCACTTTTAAAAGTAACAGAAGTAGGCCAGCGCTGTGGCTCACTAGGCTAATCCTCCGCCTTGCGGCGCTGGCACACCGGGTTCTAGTCCCGGTCCGGGCGCCGGATTCTGTCCTGGTTGCCCCTCTTCCAGGCCAGCTCTCTGCTGTGGCCAGGGAGTGCAGTGGAGGATGGCCCAAGTGCTTGGGTCCTGCACCCCATGGGAGACCAGGAGAAGCACCTGGCTCCTGCCATCGGATCAGCGCGGTATGGCGGCCGCAACGCGCCGGCCGCAGCGGCCATTGGAGGGTGAACCAACGGCAAAGGAAGACCTTTCTCTCTGTTTCTCTCTCTCACTGTCCACTCTGCCTGAATAAAAAAAATGTAACAGAAGTAAAAGCCACTAAACTCTCAAAGCAATGATTTCAAATAAACAATACCCTAATAATTCTCAATTTTAAGCAAAGAATGCAATACAATCCCTGGATTAATATATACTATGTTTATATATAGTAAGACGCCAATTTATTACTTTTTCTAAAGAAAACAGACCTACAATCTCCATTTTATCCTAGAGAAAATGACAGGCTTGAGAAATTAAGTAACTTGACTGAAGTCATACACTTGGGATTTGAATCCAAGACTGTCTGGCTCCACAAACTGCATCTTAGTGTTATGGTATTTTGGAAACTGTACAGAATTCTTCTATTTTAAAGTGCTTATTTCAATATCCAAGAAATATACAACCATTTACTAGATGACTAACAATCAACTATATTCTACTGAAACATTAATCATAAAAGAGATAAAGAATATACTTACTCATTCCTGAGCATTCTCTATCACCATCCCATACATTAGAAACAGCATGTCCCGTCAGTAGGAGGTTAATCAAACTTTGACTATCAATAAAAATTAAAAACCACTTAAAATATGAATAAAAGTAGCTTTCAGATCAACTAATTGTTATAAGGATAAAGTAATGATATTTTTACATTAAATTATGTTTTTTAGAAAACAAAGGGAAAATCTGACATCTTCCAGTGTATGTGTAAGTCTTTGCTAAATGTATCACCAAATGTATCATCAGAATGATATCTATTGCTCCATGTATTTGTATAAATTTAACAAGTGTACTCAAGATATTGTATTTAAATAGATTAAGAAACATTACATAGAATACTTTAACATTTATAAAGCGTCTTTAAAATGTATACGTAATTATTAATAATGTTTTGTCTTTGATGTAACATATAGGAGTTTTAATCTTTCAAGCAGAAAGGTCTAAAAAGAAGATCCATATAATACAGAGCATTAATTATCACTCTTTCTTTGATTTTTAGTAAAACATAGCTATAAAAAGCTTCAGAAGGGCAGATCCAGAGGAAAGGGGGAATTTATTTTCTCGTAAGCAGTACAGTCTTTACAAATAGATAAAGATATACTTATTTATAATTCAAAATGAGTTAATTTCATCTTTCAAAAAACTTTTTAAGCAGAATACTAAGGCAGATGCTAAAATACCTTACCACTGTTATCTTAAAATATTTGCCAACAAATGCTATATACTCAAAAATCTAAATTTAGAAGTTAGCATTTCATACATAAAGCTAAGAGTGCAACACCACTGACAAGCAAAATTATCTGATTCAGTCACATTTTATCTTAAGTTCCTAAAAACTAAAGCCCACATAAGAAGCAACAGACTTCAGTTAATTACCTGCCATGTCCATATACAGGATCTATTAAAGGTTCACTTGCATCTTCAATTTCATTTTTTATGTTTTCAATACCCTAAAGAAACCAAGAATTCATTAGCTTATTTTAGGAATAAAAATTATGGTAGCTTTTAAAAACTGACCAGTTCATATATAAATTAATTCCCCCAAAAATATGTTTTTATTTTTTCTCTCATGAGATCTATATAAAGAACACAAATGGACTGCTTAGTAATAGATCTAATGGCAATTACTTGGGTACAACAACAGGAGAAAAGAGCTTAATAGAGCAGTTAATATTCAGTTAACTTTAGATTCAATTAGACATATGATAGTAATTTAAGAAGCTTGTGGAAAATGAAATTAAAGTAAGTTTATTTTGATGCAAAAAATTTTGAAATCTATTCATATAGGGGGCTTCCAACAATTTCTTGGAAAATGCATACTATGAAAAAACTGCATTATTTCAAAAGTTTTTGCGTACCAAAATAAACCTACCTTTTAATTTCATTTTTAAATGAGCCTTGTAAAATACATTCATACACAAAAGCTATAGCTGGTATATAAGAAAATAGAAGGTCTGGTTCTGATTGTGCTTCTTATAATTATTGGTATCATGGAGACCACTACTGTGGCACAGCAAGTTAAGCCGTCACATGCTATGCTGGCATCCCAAATGAGTCCTATCTGTTCCACTTCCAGTCCAGCTCTCTGTTAATGCACCTGGAAAAGCAGTAGCAGATGGCCCAGGTGCTTGGGCCCTGCCACTCACATAGGAGACATGGATGGAAATTTGGGCTCCTGGCTTCAGCCTGGAACAGCATGGGCTATTTGGCCATTGTGGATTGAATCAGCAACTGGAAGACTGATCTCTAGTTTTCTGTCAGTTATTCCAACTCTCCCTTTCAAATAAATCAATCAATCTTTGGGAAAAAAAAATTGGTAACTCAATATGTACTAACAAAATAAAACGTAATTAGGAAAGCAGAAAGCTTCATATTTTTTTAAACCAGTTTCCTGATACCTCTTTATTCTCCAAAAGGAATTCAAATCCAAAAAACTCTATAAACGCTGAACATGCCTAAGATCTAGATATTTATTTTAACCTCATAGGTGCTGAAAAATGACAAAGAAAAACTGTCATTTATTGTTGTATTTACCTAACCTCAACCACTGGTTCTTTTTCATATAGAAAACTTTAGCACATCCATCAAGTCCCTATATACATCAAATGGTCCCTTGATTTCTTTCTTTTTTTTTTTTTAATTTTTTTTTTTTTTTTTGACAGGCAGAGTGGACAGTGAGAGAGAGAGACAGAGAGAAAGGTCTTCCTTTGCCGTTGGTTCACCCTCCAATGGCCGCCGTAGCTGGCGCGCTGTGGCCGGTGCACCGCACAGATCCGATGGCAGGAGCCAGGTGCTTCTCCTGGTCTCCCATGAGGGTGCAGGGCCCAAGCACTTGGGCCATCCTCCACTGCACTCCCTGGCCACAGCAGAGAGCTGGCCTGGAAGAGGGGCAGCCGGGACAGAATCCAGCGCCCGGACCGGGACTAGAACCCGGTGTGCCAGCACCTCAAGGCAGAGGATTAGCCTAGTGAGCCGTGGCGCCGGCCCCCTTGATTTCAATCAATAAAATTACACACACCCCCTATTTGCCCACCATGCTCTGAACCTAAAAAAAATAAACACGACAAAAACACTGCCATAATGGAAAATTATTTTTAAGTATCTTTTTAAAAATAATATTGAATAAAATTATTTTTAAAACCCATCTTGTATTGTAAGCACATCTCTGATATAGAGGCAATGCTCTATATCATATCTATATATATATAAAGGCAAGCCTTTATCAAATGAAAAACGTTTGATTTAGATGTGGTAAGCAGAGTAGAATATTCAACTAATAGGGCTGCTAAACATATAACACTGGCATTTGGGGAAAAAGTGTAGGACATATTAATATATATTAGTATTAGACATATAAAAGTTGAGAGAATGAAATATCAATGAACAAAAAACATGTAAAGACAGAATGAAATTTCTAGAATATAAAGACTTGGAGTGAGAGACAAAACACTATGAGATAACAGGTAAAGAAAACAAAGTGAATCTATCAAAGAAAATAAGCAAAAGAGGGACTGGCGCTGTGGCGTGATGGGTGAAGCTACTGCCCGCAGTGCCAGCATCCCATATGGGCACTGGTTCAAGTCCTGGCTGCTCCACTTCTGATTCGGCTCTCTGCTATGGCCTGGGAAAGCAGTGGAAGATGACCCAATTCCTTGGGCCCCTGCAGCCATGTGGGAGGCCTGGAGGAAGTGGCCAAATGGGAAGGGAGCCAGCAGATGGAAGACCTCCCTCTCTCCCTCCCCTCACCCCTGTATAACTCTTGATTTTCAAATAAATCTAAAACAAAGAAAAAATCTAAAAAAAAAAAAAACTACAAAAAAAAAAAAAAACAAGCAAAAGAAAAAGGAACTTGAGACATTACAGAAAGAAAACTAGCATAGTGGTTTATCAGATAATCCAGGAAACAGAATGGTGATCAAGCATTATGGGGTCAAATTTTAGACACTGCGAAGATAAGATTTTTTTCTAGAACAGTATTTTATAATCAGTATATTACTGATGACCACTGTAGTCCAGACAGACAGAAGTGGAAATTTGAAAATGGTTAGGCAGGGGCTGGCATTGTGGAGTAGTTGCTCCATTTCCAGTTTAGCTCCCTACTACTGGCCTGAGAAAAGAAGATGGCTCAGATGTTTGGGCCCCTGCCACCCACGTGGGAGATCTGGAAGAAGCTCCTGGCCCCTGGCTTTGGCTTGGCTCAGCCTTGGTCACTGCAGCCATCTGGTGAGTGAACCACTGGATGGAAGATCTGTCTCTCTCTGTAATTCTTACTTTGAAATAAATATATATTTAAAAAAAAATAGAAAAGGCACCTGGCAAGACTCTGCTCTTTGTCTTACAGGAATAGCTTAGTTTACAGTTAAGGAAAGAAACTGGGAGAAAAAAGGAAGTCACAAGAAGAAAGAGAAAGAGAGAGAGAGAAAGGAAAAAGGAAGGAAGGATGGAAGGGAGAGGGGAAGTTACATAACAAGTGTATAGAGAGGATGAGAGGATAAAGGAAGCTATTTCCTTATTAACAGCATGGCTCTTAAAAATATTTATTTAATTCTTTGAAAGGCAGACACATACAGACAGAGAGAGATATTCCAGTCAGTGGTTCCCTCCCCAAATGCCCACAACAGTCAGGGCTGGGCTGGGCCAGAAACTGGACCATCAATCTAGGTCTCCCACGTGGGTGGCAGAAATGTAACTACTTGAGCCACCTCCTGTTGCTTCCCAGGGTGTGCATTAGCAAGAAACTGGAACAAAAAGTAGAGGCAAGACTTGAATCCAGGTACTTAGAGATGGGATGCAGGTATCCCAAATGGTGTCTTAACCACTAGGCAAAATGCCTACCCCAACACAAGAATTTTTATTATGAGACTTAGAAACAGCATCAAGTATAAACTTATTCATCATATCAGGAAAAACAAGTACTAAACTGAACTTAGAGGCAGAAGAAATATCTTCTTAAACAAACCTTTGTCAGTAACACAGAATACAGAAAAAGCAATACTCCAAATTTGTTTCCCCACATTGAATATTGGTCCAAGACAGCATCTTTTAATTCTGATAAACTCCTGAATGATCTTTTTCTGAGGGGAAAAAATAATTATGTATTAGTATCATCACGAAATTGAGTACATTCAAAAATGGGAAAAAATTTAATTGTCTTAGACATTAAAACCTACACAGAACAGATTTTTTTAAGTGTCTCAAATTTTCAAATACAAATTTAGCTATTGAGGGCAAAAACTACTGTTGACCACTACCACTACATACATTTTATACCATTAAAACAGAACACCTACTTGACAGGGACTGCTTTCATCCCTTTTGTGAACTGTCTAGCATCAAAAGCTTCTTCAATAATATAGTTATTTCGTTATTTAGAGAATAGAGTAGCCCTCTTCTAAGAAGTTTTTAAGAGCAAAAACATTTTAGTTTTTTAATCTGGAAATTATTAACATATCTAAATGCTAAAGAGAAGGCATATATTTGCAGATTGTAAAAGAAGTTAATTGCAATAAACCAAACACCATCTATAATTTTTTATCAACACAATCATTCTTACCTTTTATTTTGTAATAAAGTTTAAATGTTCTAATGAAAATATGGGCACTTTTAAAGAAAATTATGGAAAGCATACTTTGGCAAATAAGAAATAATACTGATTTATTCCACTAGAAATTCATTCAGAACATAGAAACATATGTTAAAGTGATTTTTCATTGTATTAATGAACACACTTTTAATGTTTTTAAAAAAGCATATCTGGATAGTTAATTTAGGATTCAAAACAATTTAAATGTACACTTACAAGTTACTCTTTTTAACTTAAAAGCAAATTAATCCTCAAGCAATGGGTTTACAATCCATGTTTAAGTAGTGCAGTACTATATAAATCTAAGAACCTTTCCACAGTATGAAGAGACTTAAAATGGCAATGTGTGCACAAGGTAAGTATTTTAAATGTTCCAATGTTACTTACTGAATTAATGCATGAAATCGCTCAAAGCCAAGCTCTTCGACAGCCAAGGCAGCTATACATAAAAGACACTTTTCAGCACTACACATGGCAAATAAATGACACAAGATACACACAGCAGGCTGTAAATACTTTCAAGCAATCAAAACTGTCCCTATTTCCTTACTCCCTTAAAATCATGTTTATTTTCAACTTTAGTATAACACAAACTTATACGTCAACACTGTAGTTACCACAATTATAACTAAAAAATAGATATAATACTGAGAATGTAGAGGGATGATTAAATATCAAACATTTCTTTTCAATTCAGTTATCCTAGGACGATTTATAAAACAGGTGAAATTACTGACAATCAGTGCTTCACATATCAATGTGTCTCGCACTTTTATTAAATAATCTTTAAATGTATAGCTTTAAAATGAAATCATGATAGCTTATTCTTCCTCCTTTATAATATAAAATCTTTAGAAGTAATGCTTCATTATTTTAAAAAATGTATATAAAAAGGCATAGCACTTTGAAACTACACAGGTTCAACAATAGCTTTAAGTTTGTTTCCTCATTTATTCTTTTAACTGTTGAGAAGTTTTCAGTAACTTGATGGTTTACTAATACAGTACAAACATAAATTCACAAAAATCAAAGGAAGCATTTTAATCAAAGGCAATGTTTACTGGTACCTTTATTGGGCCAGGCCTTTTTTCTGTTTTACAGGTCTGACTCCTTTTAATCCTCATTAAACCTTTTTATCTCCATTTTACAGAAGAACTTGAGGCACAGAGAAGAATCCTCTCAAGGGCACACAGCAAGAAACAAAGACCTGAGATTTGAACCCAGGTATTCTTGGCTCCAGGAAGATAAAGTCTTAAAGATAACCTCAAAATACTTTAACTTAACACCATGAACAATTTCACATATATTTTATACTTAGTACTTCCAAATATAAATTCTCACCAGTGAGTTAAGAAAGCTGATTATGAATTCAAAGTTTCAAAGTTGTATTTACAATTAAAAATGTTACATAATATTAGGTTTTCAAAGCCTAGTTTTAATTTTCAAACCACTTCTAAAAATCTTTCAAAAATTTTTTGGTTTATGTGGGAAACAAACTGAAATTGAACCTGAGTACTCACTACTGCGAACAACTGTGCATTACCAACAAGCCAAAACTATACACACCACACAAGCCAATGAAATTAATGTTTTAACAGAACATAATGTAATGAGAGGGGAAAACACTTCACACATAAATTTCAGGATAAAATAAAAACCAACTGTGCTAACTGTTCTGCAGTGCTTGATTATTCCAATAATTTTACACTAAGTATACTACAAAAGTAGACATAAAGGTACTAATTTAGAGAAGAGAGGCAAGCAAAATAAAAAGCTTAGCAGGCAGGAATGGTGGAAAATAAAACACAAGAAATAGAACACAGCTGGGAATAAAAGAAAGAGGAAGTAAGAAGAGATTGTTACATGGAATAAGAATTTTAACTTAAGTTCAGTTTGTCAATATCTAAGGTAAATTCTCAAATTTTTCAGTAATAAAAATTCTTCAAATGTATATTTAAAACAGACTTAATATGGTTTTATTTCATATCAATTTTTAAAATGAGGCACAAAGTAAACTGGAAAATTATTAAACCATAATTTTTAGAGGGGAATTCAAGATAATATGCCCATCTGAATTAGTTATTTAAGTTAAAACATAACACATTCAAAGACTATTTAACATAGGACAATCTAACCTACCACTAGAGAAATGCACCAGCATATTTGATAGTAAGGACACCATTTACCATGACGTTACTAATGATAAAATATAAAAAACTCATTAGATTTCCAAATACTAATAAATAGGTTGTCTTTAAGCATATATTCTTGAAAAGACCTTTTAAACAAACCATTATCTCAAAATTTTAATACTGTAAATGGAACTATTAAACATGTTTACATGTAACCAGGAAAACCAGGAAAGTATTTTTAAAGCAAATTTAAATGATATTTTAGATTATCATCCTTGTAAATATTTTCCATTTGTTGTCTTTGTCATTATCCATTCTGGAAAAATGTTATATTCTTTGTAAAAGGCTATGTTTGAAAGACATGAAACGGAAACATATTATTTAAATTTTTAAAATTATTCCTTGCAAATGTACTACTATTAGAATTCGCCACACTGCAGGCATTTTAATTTGCAAAGGTAAAGAAGAGAAGACACTGACAACACAGGGACATTTCAGCCCAAGCAGGCAAAAGCGCTTTATAGATAATCTTATATGGAAAGCAAGGTGTTTCTTACAGTGATAGAAAATTCACTTTTATAAATCAGGTGTCTAATCTCTTTGAAAACAAAGAAAAACTCACTTATTTAATATAAGTACTTGGGACTACCAATTATCAAAAATCACCTACTGGCAATATTATTCCTGAAAAGCAACCCAAAAAAGCAGTTCTTTTTTCTAGCTTTCGTTCCACCAGAATTCTCCATTTTAATGTTCACTCTATCAGATTTTTAGGTCAACTACATCAGACTTTCAAAAGTTAAAGACCACAGAATAAATGGGTATAATTTTTATGAGTAATGACAGTAGCTGTTATTTAAGGAGAAAAATCTTCAGTAACGATATGAAAAACTTAAGGCCTAATTAAAACTCCCTTAAAATAATCCATACATACAACAATGTCCAAAAAAATTCAAGAAGGAGACAAACTGCATGCAATAGACAAAATGATATCCATCATTTCTCTAAGAAGCAACTACAGATATTTAAGAAAATTTCTGAAGCCAAAAAATCCCTACCTTTCTAACAAGGCATCTGAAACTATGATTCACAGACATACAAAGGTAATTCAAGAAGTTCATGGAAAAAAGAGATTGAAGAGAGTTTATTTTGGTGCACAAAATTTTTAAAATTCATGCATGGCTTTTTCAAAGTACACATTTTCCGTGCACTTTTTGAAGACCACTTGTATATTCTGTAAACTTCCTAAATTAGAGTTCTAAAGCTCAAAAGAAATTGTTAGCAGGGAGAAGTTCACTGTAACTTTTAAAAAAGTTTATTTTTTTTTACAAAATTATATCTTCTAGTAAATAAAATAACTGAAAAAATATCAAAGTTCATGAATTATGTTTAAGCTAGAAAAATGATTTTGCAAAATTTAAAATATTTTCTTCAAAATTTTCCAGTTTTATTAAAATAAAGGTAGAAGAAATTATTTCAGGAAATCAAAATGTATCTTACAAGAATGTTCCACTTGGCAACTAGACTCTGCAAGACTCCCAGAAATACCAGCAGTTTCTTCGGTTGTCTTTCCTCTTAACCATGAAACCAAGCAGTATGATCCAGAGTTGTCACAACAAGCACTTTCTAAAATGTCACATAAGGTATGACAAAGGAGTTCCTTTCGTTCTTCCTCTAAAAGTAACAAAAGTATAAATTATAATGGTTTTATCTGGAAAACAAAAACATGTCCTAAAAACAATATTAAGTATATATTAATTTAATTATGAACATCAAGCACTTTAAGATGTGGAAAAATCCATAAACAGATTTTAATTATATTTTAGAAAAACAATGGCTGCAGGGTTAAAATCTCTATTTAAATACTGCCATCAGTTACAAACAAAAATCTTGAAAAAGGCACAATTAAACATTATGAAAAGAATATTCTGCTAGAAATAATTGATATTGATCCTCCCTTTCGTAAGCTGCAAATGTAGCATGTAAGCTGAGGTTTCCTTTATAGCAGAACCAACCACAAAGTAAAGACCTGCTGAGACTTCTACTTTTTTCCCCCACTGTGAATTAGTCTAAAGCCTTTGTCCTGTTCCTCAGGGATAAGAACAATGAAAACATCATCAGCACATACAGTACCACAATCTATTACACCAGCAGGGGCAATAATGGTTATGCTACTTCTTCAGTTTTGAGGATATATAAACAATTAGAAATTTTAAAGAAAACACAAATGCTCATTTTTTTCTTCCCCCTGAATTTTAGCTACTCTCTCCTCTTCAAACTGTAGTACCACTTTCTGAAGCTTTCACATAAAGGGGCTAAGATGTGCACATATTCTATATAAAATTTTATGATACAAGGTTTTTCTCATTCCTAATGGAATGTAAGTTCTTTAAAGGCAAGAACTTATGTAAATAATAAAAGTCATGTACAGGGGGGTGGGGGGTAAGGGGGCCGGATAAGAAGGCAAGAACTATATCATTAATTAAATCAAATAATTGACAGCATTTATGACAATGCCTTACAATTTTAAATCAAATTTGATGTATTTCTGTATAAGAAACATTATAAAGCTTGTTGATAAAAAGTTCATGTCAATCATAGTATCTCTTAAATAGTTTCATTTCAACTACTAATTACTAAAAAAAAAAAAAAGTGACACCTTAATTTCAAAACCATTAGTACATGCTATCACCATGGCTTAGAATGGAAGCTATTATGTATGTCCTTATATACAAAACTGGGGTTGTAATCTATCCTACATTCTTCCAGAAGTTATTGAAAGGCTCATATGAAATCGTGTAAGTGAGTAAAGACTTTTGTAAACTGTCAAGTGGAATGCAAATGTTTGTTTTATCAAGTAGTACCATATCTCTTTCTGACTTAGTCATGTTACAGACACTATGACAATTTCATTTCCCATTTAACTTAGAATTATTTGCATTATGAAAAGTATTATTCTAAAAGAGGCAGGAATAAAATGAATTCTGAGCTTTTGCTAGGAGTAAATAAGATAACAAAGTAACATAAATTTGCTATTCTTGATGGTATGCTATCATTTAAGTTTTGAGAAATACACCATGTTTTCCCAAGAAGCCAAAGGCTTTTCCCTTACTTACACATATTATCCTGTCTTATATCTCTCAGCTAGGAAATGTTTAAAATCTAGAGTCATTGCTTATCAAACTTCCTGAAACACTTTAAAAATAAAACTCAGAAAAAAAAAATTCTGTATTGATCACTTAATGGTTAAGACACCTGTGTCACACATAAGAGTGCTCGATACCAGCCCCTGACTCCAGCTACCTACTAATGCAAACCCTGGGAGACAATGGTAAGGGCTCAAAGAACTGAGTTTCTGCCACCCATGTGGAAGACCTGAATTGAGTTCTGAACTCCCTGCCTTGTCCCCTTCATTAGGGCCATTGTGGGCATTCTAGCAGTAGGAGCTCTCTGTGTCTCCCCCTTTCAAATAAATAAATGTTTACTCATTTATTTATTTGAAAGGCAGAGAGAGAGATACACAGAGAGATCTCCCATCATCTGATTCGCTCTGCAAATGCCTGCAACAGCTGGCAACAGCCAGGACTAGGCCAGGTCAAAACTAGGAGATGGGAACTCAATCTACATCTCCAGTGTAGATGACAAAAACCTAACTAATTGTGCCATCACCTGCTGCTACAGGGTACACATTAGGAAGCTGGAAACTGGGGCAGAGCTATGACTCTAATACGGGTTATAGGCATCCAAATTGGTTTCTTAGCTGCTATGCCAAATACCTGCCCCACAGGGTGCAGGGTGGAGTAGAAGTTTTAAAAGATGGCTATCATACCTGGACAATCCCTCCAAGAAGACTTTTCAGAAGAAAACAGGAGCTTCTTCAAGAGAAATGCCTTTATAGAATTAAAGCAATGATATTAGTAGAATGCATTATAAACATTTTATCATTTTTTATTTTAAAATGGGAAAATTAATTTATACTTTCTTATCCTTCGAATAGTCTATAAAAATTTCAAATGGTTATCCTTCATATTCAATAGTAACTATGCATAGTTTTTACTCAGCATATAGTACCATAAACTTGATTCTAGATCTATAAAAAAATTCTTCCACAACATACATTTTCTGACAAGAACTGACTCAAATAATAGATACGTAACTAGAAATTACAGAAGCTTACTGCTCCATGCACAAGGTGAAGGCCACATAAAAGAGGAACAAGTCTATACTTCTCTGAGATTGCTTGCAGTTCAAGAAATCTAGACACAAAAGTGGTTCTGTTCCATCGGCTCTAGTCTATGATACAAGAATACTACTGGTAGAGTACCTAACTTCCTGATTTAACTAAAAAATATAAACTTCAAAAGAAGGGCCGACACTGTGGTATAGCACGTAAAGCTGACGCCTCCAGTGCCAGCATTCCATATGGGCACCAGTCCTGGCTGCTCCACTTCTGATCCAGCTCTCTGCTGTGGCCTGGGAAAGCAGAGATGGTCTGAGTCCTTGGGCCCCTGCACCCGCGTGGGAGACCTGGAAGAAGCTCCTGGGTTCGGATTGGCACAGCTCCGGCCCTTGCAGCCATTTGGGGAGTGAACCAGTGGATGAAAGACTTTCTCTCTCTGCCTCTGCCTTTGAAATTTAAAAAAAAAAAAAAAATTCAAAAGCAAAGTACAAACAGATTTGTAATTTTTACCATAAGCCTGTCAATTATTCTGTGTTGGTTATTTGACAGTGTCAGTTCAGGGTAGTATAGCTGTTTCCTTCTCAGTGTGATTGCAAGGAATTTGCATTTTAGACTCCCGATTTAAAATGCAGATTTTATTTTTTTATTTTTTGACAGGCAGAGTGGACAGTGAGAGAGAGAGAGAGACAGAGAGAAAGGTCTTCCTTTTGCCGTTGGTTCACCCTCCAATGGCCGCTGCGGCTGGCGTGCATCGGCCGGCGCACTGCGCTGATCCGAAGGCAGGAGCCAGGTGCTTCTCCTGGTCTCCCATGAGGGTGCAGGGCCCAAGCACTTGGGCCATCCTCCACTGCACTCCCTGGCCACAGCAGAGAGCTGGCCTGGAAGAGGGGCAACCGGGACAGAATCCAACACCCCGACCGGGACTAGAACCTGGTGTGCTGGCACTGCAAGGCGGAGGATTAGCCTAGTGAGCTGTGGCGCCAGCCCTAAAATGCAGATTCTTAAGTGCCACTTTTAGAACCTGAACTTCTAAAGGAAAGATCCAAGAAAAGCAGGTTTCTATGCTAACTCTTACATGTGTTTGAAAGCATAATATACAAATTAAATGGACTGCTTTTAGTCAAATCTTGGTTTGAATCCTCATTGCACTGCTTTACTAACTAAAAATAATACAAGCTTTAAAATGTTGTAGCAAGGATTATATGAAAAAAATTTAATATACTCAGTGCAGTACCTGACACCTAATAAGCAGTCAATTCAAAGTATTTTAGCAAAGTTAATATTCTATAGTATTTATTTTCATAGAAGTAAAAGCTACAAAAAATAATCAAGTGCTTCTGATTTTCCTTTTTTTTTTTTTTAAAGATTTATTTATTTGTAAGTCAGAGTTACACAGAGAGAGGAGAGGCAGAGAGAGAGAGTCTTCCATCCGCTGGTTCACTCCCCAACTGGCCACAATGGCCACAGCTGCCCCAATTCGAAGCCAGGAGCCAGGAGCTTCCTCCGGGTCTCCCACATGAGTGTAGGGGCAAAAGAACTTGGACCTTGGGCCATCTTCTACCGCTTTCCCAGGCCATAGCAGAGAGCTGGATCAGAGGTGGAGCAGCAGGGTCTCTAACTGGCATCCATATGGGATGCAGGCGCTTCAGGCCAGGGCATTAACCTGCTGCGCCACAGTGCCAGCCCCTGATTTTCCCTTTTTTATTTTTTTAATTTTTATTTTATTTGACAGAGTTAGGCAATGAGAGAGAGAGACAAAGAGAAAGGTCTTCCTTCCATTGGTTCACCCCCCAAATGGCCGCCACGGCCGGCGCTGCGCTGATCCAAAGCCAGGAGCCAAGTGCTTCTTCCTGGTCTCCCATGCAGGTGCAGAGGCCCAGGGACACATCCTCTACTGCCTTCCCGGGCCACAGCAGAGAGCTGGACTGGAAGAGGAGCAACCGGGACTAGAACCTGGCGCCCATATGGGATGCTGGTGCCGCAGGCGGGGGATTAACCAAGTGAGCCACAGTGCTGGCCCCCTGATTTTCCCTTCTAATAACAACCACCCTTAGATGGAGTAGTACAATGACATTACAAAATTTTGGAATGAGGAGAAGATACTCATTATTTCACCAATAATACAATCACCATAATCATTTTCATATAGTACTTACTTTTATATACTTGTTTTTAATTTTATTACAGATTAGATAAACATGGGTATATAATGTCTTCAATTTTTTGACAAAATTCATAACTATCAGGGTTAATCACAACTTGTCTATCAAGCTGTTTACCAAAATTAATTTTTTGATTTCATATTGAATTATATCACTGTACATCATTTGGAATTATTTCTTTTTGCTACTATAAATGTATGAGCTTCTTGAATACAAGTTTTTCCATTTTAAACATTCTAGAAAACATTCACAGAAATATTAAAGAATCCTCATTATTATGGTTCTAATTATAAAATTACTTACATAAATCAAAACACAA